GCTACGCAGCTGCTCCGTTAAACCATGACCGCTGAGTAGCCACAGTTGCTGACACGTCCCCAAAGCTGAAAACATTCCCACATCTGCATGTCACCGCTCTGACTACCTTTTGGGATATTTTTCTTACGACTCCTGCTGCCCTTTCAAGGAGAGCCATAAACACGTGCTGAATTTTTCTATTAAGCATCTTCTTAAACATATTACAGGAGCTCCAGAGCTAAGCCTGGCAAATAACCATTTCCTACCTTCTCGAGAACAAAATGAAGGTTCTGGCTAAAAGAGACTTTACTGTTATCCCTGTTAACTTTCTAATTTCAGGGGGGAAAAAAATTCCCAAGGGTCTACTTGATAACATGACTAGGGTAAAAAAAGCATTTTCTGATGGGGGAAAAAAAAAAACAGAAAGAAAAAGAAAAAGTCGTTTTATTTGAAAATATCTTGAATACTTATTTTTTAAAAGTTGTTCTTACGGTTTTAAAAGTGAAGCACTGGATGGCAAATCACAGGAAAGAAAGAACATCAGCAGTGCAGTTAACACATTCTGTAGAGTAGCCGCTAACCCTCAAGGGCACCCTAAAAGCCAGTTAAGAGTACGCAGATGCTGCAGAAGCGAACAGGTTTTAAAGGCCACAAGAAAGGGCGATGCTCTCTGTTAAACCCCACACACTGCTGAGCACGTGGTACCCAAAGCTGAGAAATGCCTGTCCACGCAGTACCTGGGCGGATGAGAACTCGCCCCGCCCACCCCCGCCCCTTGTTCTTTCTGGTAAAAAGAGCACATCAGATAAGGAGGGACATCAGATCTGATTCACTCCGCGCCCAGACTGTCCGAAACAAGCCGACTTGATGGGGACAGTTTCAACTTGCCCCGTGCGGCTGAACTTTCCGTCGCCTTTAAAAAAGCTTACTATTTTTTGGTGGCAATATCTAAAAACGACAAACCTGTTTATCGACCTAGTAGCGTGAATGGTCAGGTATGCAAGGACAGAATAAGAAAACAGAGTCTTCCCTTGGATGTTTCAGATGGAGTCCCAAAGATGACATGAATTAACTTCAATGGCCCTAAACACAAGATCGAGACATCTCCTCGAGAATTTTATTCTATTTAGAAGAAAAGTATCATTTCACCCCAAGCCCATCTCTCTCACTTAATGTACCATTGGATTTAATTTACCACACGCACTTGCATTTTGGCATTTAAAAAAATTAATATGCATATTTTGAATAAGTATTCATGATCATTAAGCACCAGGAAACCGACGATTTCGTGGGACCTGTTTCTAAATACCCCTGAGGCTGTAGATGAGAGGTAGCTCCCCAAAAATCGAGCTTTATGTTTCTGTTTCGACACCAAAGGGCCACTCTGCAGACAGGCCACTTAACAGCTGTGTGCACAGTATCTTACGGGAAGATTTCTTTGGAAATTTTCCACTCGAATTAAAGAAGCTTCCGTAGAAACAGAACCGAGAGCTAACGGCATGGCCCATCAATCAGGCTCTGTGTAAGGGAGCATGCACACTTCTTGAGAACCCACACGTGCGAACCCTGAGAGTGAACTACCACCCCCAAAATCCTGAAGAACCTAGGACACTCGCGCATCCCACAATACAGCTCACAGGGAGAAATGCCCAGGGAAGCTAATTTCCGCCGCCCCAGAAGGACAAGGGGCCCGTCCCTTGCTGACCACCTGACCTCTCTCCCAATGTGCTGCTTATCTTTTCCTTGGAGGTAAATGAGCCTGCTGCTTTGAGAAAAGACTCTTACTGTGCCCACATCATATACAGCTGTGTCCTGCACGGCACAAAGAAAACCACTGCATTTCACAAATTCGAAATGGCATCACAGCGCAGACATACTCGTTGACGTCAGTGTTTCTAGAATGCAAACGAACTTGGTGTATTATCTAATTTGGCACAGTGGGTTTTGTGCAATTATTGTATTTTACAGTGTTTTTGCAATTGCCAGCTAGCCCCATAAGGGCGTGAAGCGGGGGCAGGGGATAACCTGCCTTCTTTATTGATTGCAAACTTTTTTATCACAAATAGAACCTCTGTTGCAATGGCAGCCAGACAAAAAAATTTCTTTACAGACACAAAAATGGACATTAGATACACACATAATCTGAATACAATAAGAACTTGAAACATCCTGACCTGCACCTCGCTTGTGTGTGCATGTGTGTGTGTGTCTGTCTTCAAGACTAATGGGTAGGTAAGAAAATGGCACAGCCAAAGTTAACTCTTAAAAGATTCAAGATATTATCTATACACATCTCTCCGTGGTCCCTGCATATCCTAGGAGGCGGGACCGCTCCATCTGGCGATCTCGTTACAGCGCAGAGCTAACTCCATGGGTCTGGGCCCGCCGGAGACCGGAGACCGCGTGCCTAACAAGCTCCAAGGCTGCTGGTCTGCGGCCCATGCTGGGAGCGGGGAGGGGAAGCCAGGGCTGCTCTGGGTGGGCTTTGCCCCAGGGCGAGGCGGGACATGGGCTCCGACCGGGTACTTACCCTGCATCTGACTCTGAGGCTGAGGGTTAAAGGCTGTGGAGTGGTTCAAGGCGGCCCGAGGGTTGGGTGTGGGGGCTGGGTGGTGTGGGCTGGCCCTCATGGCCGTGCGCCGCAGCTGCTCCAGCTCACTGAGCCGCTCGGAAAAGGACAAGCTCCCGGGCTTGGTCTGATCGTCTAGTTTCTGACGATGTCCTA